TACTCTTTGTATTCAATTGAATACAACTTTATTTATGTACCTGTACATAATATATAAGTATGTAGCTGGCAAAAGCCTAAGCCACACAGAGAATTGGTGTCTAGATACCGGTTACTGACCTTTTGAACAACAGATATTTATTTGATAAAATAGATATTTGCTTGTATACTCAGTGTTGTAGTTCTAATTATATTAAAAGTTGCTTTAGTATTGGAAAAGCCAAAGTAAGATCTGTGAGGATTTGAGAATCATTTTTACAAGACATGACTTTGATCAAGAAAAGGCTAGACATGTCAGGTGGCTTTTTAGAAAGTCCTTTCTAATGTGCACTGCATATATTGCATGTAACAGAATCACAAGGAAGAGAATGGTTATGACCATAAACAAAATGAAATTTGTAGATGATGTAAAGTATAAGCACAGGGAGAAAAGGAAACCTCAAATGCTGCTGATGGTGGATGGACGAGTGATGGCCACACGAACCTTGACTGCTTGCAGTAGGAAGTATTGTGGCTTTAGACACACTGCTTGTAAGGTAGAAAAAAGCTGGTAAAGCAATAGTGTTTTGGAGTCAGACAGCAGCTTTTAACTCTGGAGAAATGTTGCACTAGTTTCTGACTTCCACTCCCCCGAGTCCATTTTGGAATTAACACATGGCTGCTGTTGTAGCAAGATGAAATAGGGGATTTGGGGGGAAAATTCAATGCAAATGCCTCTGTAGACATCAAAATCGATGTCTGTGGAACAACCTACTGCAGAGGCTCTGTGTGATAGCTCTTAAAGCCCTGGGACTTTAAGGGTGCCTGAACTTAGATTCTTGTCACCACGCTGCAGCTGTTAACTTAAGTACCTGTCTTTACCTTTTAGCTATGAAATACAACATGCTGTTTGCTAAAAGAGGAGCTGTTCCCTTTTTAAGTGTCTGTTTATAAAAGTTAGATGCTAATTTTTAATATAGATACTATGTTAAATAGAATTTCTTTTTATTCAATGTTTATCTTTCAAGTCTAAAGGTGTGGGCAGGAAAATATATGAAAAGCATGGATGAAAAGTAGTGTCTCCTGGATTGCAAAACTGTTGGAATGGGAAACTGAGTAGGAACTGACAACATTTTCTCTGATGTCTAAATTTTTTTTCTCTCTGATGGACAATAACATAGTTTCATTTGTAATGATTCTGTGCTCTCTGTACTGCTCTTTGTTTACTGTATTCTCTTTCTCTTTATATCTACACAAAACACTTGTGATATAGCAACAGAGCACTATGCAAATAAACATTTTACACCAAGTGAAATATTTAATGTATGCATGAATGAACTTCCTCCCTTTCAGATTTTCCTTGCAACTACAGTATAAACTAAGATGGATGTACACTGCATACAGATTTTATATTTCAAAGTTTCTTTTTTCGTGTATGGGTAATTTTCTAGGGTCGAACCTTTGTAAAGTTAACTTTGGTACTGCTATAATATTTTGAATATTAACAAGGGGTGTTGACTGAAACTCTGCCATCAGTGCCTGCTGTTTATAGTGGCCCTTTGAACTTTTGCTTTGATGCCCCTCTCAAAAAGTTGGGAAAGACCCTGATCAGATTTCAGTAAAAATGTATAATACTATGCTGGAAACAAATACATTTGTCATAGCAGGTGAGCTGAGCAGTCACTAATCAGAAACTTTTGAAACTAAACCAGTTACACTTGCTGTGGGTGTAGGAATGATCTTACAGAATTTTATATGTGCAGTCCAGAACTCAATGCACATAACTTTACAGATATCTGTCTTGTACAGAAATATAAGATCTCATGGCCTTTGAAGAGTTCAAAAGTCTTTCGTTTCACAGTATCAAAAGAACATGTGCTCATTGATCCAGTTTTGACTGCTTAAAAACTATTTTTCAACTCTGTTAGAAATAATATAAGGTCAGAAAATTTATTACGAAATTATATATCATATAACTAACTGTGTTGATATATATCAAGTGCTAAATATTCAGTTTATCTTATTGTGTGTTTTTAATATATTTCTTTTGCCAGATCTAAGAAACTTGTTTGATAAGAAGGTAAAAGTCTCAGGATCTGCATTAGAAATTTAGTTAGATCAGGATCCATCTCCTGAAGCAATTGCCCACATGCTAAGCTGTAGTTCATGTTGTGGAGCAGAGTTGGAGTGCAAGAGCAGGACTGGTCCAGGAGGATGCAGTGTGGGGCTTACCTTTAGGTAAACCCTTGCTATGGACTTGCTCCTACTGAATGTTCAGTCCTTGGGGCTATACTGGAGTAAACGAGACAACAGCCTCCCTTGAAGCAGCTGTGGGCTTCAGCACCAACTGTTGGGCCTATTTGCTAACGTAGAACTAGCTAAGGCCTGTGAAGACCATGGTCTTTCATCTCTATGGGGGAAAACCCCCAGAAAAACAGTGCTTCGTGATGAGGCTTGGCACATTCTCTTTTTTTGAAGCCATCATGTGTTATCTCACATACCGTATTTGTGTTACTTCACACGACATCAAGTAGACTTCTGTGTGATTACAAAGCACCTGCACACAGACATTACTGATCTGCTGTTGTTACTGTCATGAGCAAATTCTAACCTTGAGCTTATCAGCACAACCTCACAGCAGGCTTAAGTTACAGCTGTTCATGTGCTTTAAGCTGCAGGAAAAAAAAATCTGAGTAAAAAATGCTTTTCTCTGAGTTTACACCAGCATTGAGCATGCTGCAGTCTCTAAAGATATCTTCAGCTTTCTTACAGCAGTAAGGAAAGGGATTTTTGGCTGACAACTTAGATCAAATTACCTTATGTCCTCCACTTTAGCTGTTTGTTCTGTAGAAGCAGAACTATTCAAGAGCAAAAGGTTAGCATTAGGTGGATAAATACCTGATCTTGCAGATACAGCAGGTAATTAAATACTGGGCTTCCTGATGTCTAGGGTGAGCTTTCAAACACCAGCCTGCCTGTGGGTGCACAGAAATTTCCCATGAACCATTAACTACAGAACAAGAGTCATCTATACACCCACAGTTATAAATAAATAAAAAATCTTTCTCAGCATTTTAAAACAACTAGTATGTAAACCACAAGGAACTGAAAATTTGGAAAAATCTCCCAATGGGTGTTTTCACAAACTAAAATCAAGCATTAAAGATGTTTGTCTCTAAGGGAAGATCCTGACTGAAGATGCCCCCCCAGTGCTTTCAAATAAGTGTAGGAACACTGAAATATTGACACTCAAAAAGAGGAAATTGTATTCTCTGCCTGGTCAGTGCCTATTGATTTTCTATAGGATTCCTTTCATTTTTATTTCAAGAGAAAATGAGAAGGGGAGCAATGGGTTCTAATGCTGCTTTTAAACTAGTATCACAGTTCACTGTATCACTGCTGAAATCTTATGGACATCCAGTATTTGTTGGCAATAGGTGACAAATACTTTGCAGAAATGGTAGGAGGTGAAGTACACTCCTCTCATATTCAGAAGAAAGCATTCAGCCTATGCATAGGACAGTGCATCTGTCATTATGTGGTGCTTCCTCAGTGGCAGAATGGGAGATTAAATGAAGACAATGTGGGAAGTTGAGACTTGCCATGTGGGACTGCTTGTTGCCTTGGTTTATTGTTGTAGTCAGATAGGACTGTGATTTTCATCAGTGTGGTTAAAAAAGTACAAGTCTTAGTGTTGAACCCAGACCAATCTGGTTAATTTTCCTACCTGCAGGGGGTAGTGTGTGTAAGGTACCATCCCACTGAAACAGTTGTGTCTGCAAGTGGACACCTCTACTACTACTACTTTGACTGTTTACTATGATGGCCTTTTCTATCGTAGAGATGAAGGTAGAAGTGAGATGTAGTATAGGGTGTTACAATCTGCTTTGGCTTCTCCAGCTGTTTCAGTCAGTGTTTGTTTACTTGAGCCTGTATATGCACTGAGTGCTTATTTTAGGTTTTACATTGTTCTTCAAAGAACTGGCTTTAAAGATTAATTAGGGCAGGGGGGGAGTGAGACTGTGTGCCTGCAAGGGAAAATGTGACTGTGAACCTAGCATTAGAGCACTGACCTGAAAGGAGGGAGAGAGGAAGGAAGGAGAGGTTTGAAAAGCATTCATAGTGGATTCTTTGAAGAGTAAGTATAATTACTCTCCTCTGAGGGAGGAATGTAGAGATAATGTTGTATATATGCTTGCTGAAGTACTATGTAATTGCATCATGGGATTAGCAGTCAGGTTCCAGTCATGTAGATGCTAACAGCTGTATCTTATCTGATTTAGCATGGATGCACATCCTGAGATAAGGATTATCCTTCTAAATTGTATTGAAATAGAAATACTTGTGTGGTGATTTGCCATCACTGATACACACATCAGCTATTTTAGACTGCTGTAACAGACCTGTGTGAACAAGGAGATTCATTACTGAAGGTCAGAGGAGCAGCTTGTTTGTCATGGAGCTGGGACTGCACAAGTCATCAGCCTCATGCGAGACAGGGATTTCAATGAAACAGAGCTCCCTGCTAGACTGGCATCTGCAAAATGAAGTGGGGAGATGCAGGCATTGCTAGCACCAGCTGCAGATCTCATAATTTGGACTGGAATTTTGTTTTATGTCTTCCAAAACAGTCTTTTCTTTAAAACATACAGATAAAAGTTCTAACTGCAGTCATTATATTTTTGTTACATCTATTCCAAAGCTCACAGAAGTATGAGAAAGATATGAGGGGGTTTGGTGGGGGAGAGTAGATTGGGGAGAAAATATGATAAATCTGAAAATGTGGAAATGGTAAATAACTATTTATTTCATCTATGGACTGAGACAAGAAGTAATTTTTTTCCTTTGCCACAGAAAAGAGCTTTCAGTGTGTGTGCCTAACCTTCAGTTGTTTCTCCCATGAACTACTGTATACGGAAAGGAAACACGTTTTTGCTTTGTAGCCTAGATGATTTAATGGGAAATGGCTTGATTTGTGGCATAATAATTTTGTTTAATATCTTTTTTATTCCAACAGGAAATATGGGATGTATAAAATCAAAAAGCAAAGAGAATCTGCATGGAGATGGGCTAGATTTGAAGAACCAACCAGTACGTAAAACTGAACGAACTATTTATGTGAGGGATCCAACGTCCAATAAACAGCAAAGGCCAGTAAGTAGATAGTCTCAGGGGAGAATTCCTGTAGCAAGATCAAAGCACGACTGGCATAACTTAAGTTTCAATCCAAAGCATATGCATGGAAAAATTCAAATTACCATTAATCCACAATTGGGCTTTTAGTGTTGTGCAGTTCACCCTCAATGATTAAGTACTGAGAGAAATAAAAATGAAATCTTGGTGATTTGTTACTTAATTACCTTGTTTGTCATAATTTTCTGCATGAAAACAGTAATCCTTGGCAATGCTTGATGTAGATATAACTATGCCTATAGAAGAATGCAACATGACTTCAGAAAACATGAAGTAGTCTAGACCTATTTTTACAAGCATCAATGTTGAGTTTTTAATAGCTGTGGGATCCAGGTGATTATTCTACTTAGACTGAAGTAATCATGGGCAATTCTTTACCAGCTCTAGTCAACATTGATTTTACTTACTGTAGGCCACTATTCGACTTTGTGTGAGGTGTGTAGGTAAGGATGGGAGGGGATTAGAGGGTGCAGTGGTGAAGGGAGCGGCACTGTGCTGTGGGAGGAACAGGCTCATGGCAGTTCCATTTGTGCTGCCTGGCATTGGAAAGATAGGGTGCTGGAATGGGGAATCCCATTGGGTACAAGGTGGCTTTGCTAATTTGCAGATTGACTAGTACCTTTTTTTTCCACACCTTCTCTACTGTGCTGAGGAAACTGTGTCTCCTGACTGCCAGCACTCAGGGACCCTGTTCTCTGCAGGTGTGAATGGCACCCTTCTCCTCTCTCACCAGCTGACACAGTGAACTCTGTGTGCTCTCACTCAATGTACACACATCACAAACTACCATTATTTTTCTTTAATTCCTCTTTTTTTCTCCTTGCACAATCTTAACTGTGCTTCTAGCTCTTTAGCATGACAACTACATAGTAACAACTGTCCTGTTAAAGTACTCTGCCTAAAGCCTCTTCAGCAGAACTCCCAAAGCTCTGAAATTCCTCCCTAACAGCTTGTGCCACACCCTCATGAGGTCTGAGCTGCTCAATTTAGAATCTAGTGGGGACTTAATAGGTTTTTATATTGTAATTCGCTTTTGAGGAATGGTGGGGAAAGATTGGAGCATTTCCTTTTAATTTAAGACATCTAAGATAATGCCAAAGCAACTGAATAATAATGTAATTGTCATGTAAGATAGTCACAAAGACCTAAAACTGCTTAATTAAAGATATGCTTTATTGTAGGCAAATCCAGAGGCACAGCTCTTACCAGGACAGAGGTTTGTCACTGAAGGTATGTTTTTGTAGGAATCTCACTGCTGCATGCTATGCCTATGTCAGCCTGCAAAGTGATGTGAATGAGCCTTTCTTTTTCTACTTTTGTAGAAGCAGAGGAGCCTGGAGTCATTGTGGTAGCTTTGTATCCCTATGATGGCATCCATGAAGAGGACTTGTCCTTCAAAAAAGGAGAAAAATTGAAAGTTATTGAGGAGTAAGTATGACAGCATCGATTGTATTATATTTTTTCTTTGAATTTATCTAGCTTCCTTTACAATGTTTTTATGTCCTGTTCATAACATGGGTGTATGAATGGCAAGTCAGCTCCCTTACATGTGATAATACAAATGCATGTGGAGCTGGGCCAGGTTGGCTGGAGCTCTGAGCAACCTGGTCTAGTGGAAGGTGTCCCTGCCCATGACAGGAGGGTTGGAACTAGATGATGTTTAAGGTCTCTTCCAAGCCAAACCATCCTATGGATTTATGATTCTTTGACTTGACAGCTGCCCTTAGTAACAGCAACCAAATATTCTCAGGGGACTTGAGTTCAGAGGAAAGATTATGGTTCTCTCTCCAGCACGGGCAGAGCTCTCACCACAGTAGAAGCTAAGTAACACTTTATCCTTTTTTTTTTCATGTGAATACTACTGTTGTTTTTGTTTTTCAGGCTGGGAGAATGGTGGAGAGCAAAATCTCTCACAACAAGGAAAGAAGGCTTCGTTCCCAGCAACTATGTAGCAAAAGTAAACACCTTGGAAACGGAAGAGTAAGTTTTTCCAGACTCTAAACAGTCAAACTTCTTCACCCTGGTGGTGTACCCGGTGTGAGTGGGGGAAAGAAATGGTTCTAATTCTTTCAAATACTTTTCAGATGGTTCTTCAAAGACATAACCCGAAAAGATGCCGAAAGACAACTCCTGGCTCCTGGAAATAGTCCTGGAGCTTTCCTCATCAGAGAAAGTGAGACATTAAAAGGTAGGCTTTGGAGTGGGTTACTTTGGAATTGATACAGAGTTAAAAAGACACAGTCAGTCTTCACAAAAATTGGCATCAGATGGCACTGGGTGTGGAGTAGTCCTATTCTGTGAATTTTCTGCAGTTCTGTAGGAGTGAGAAGGATGAGAAAATCACCAGGAAAAGAGAGAGGAGAGTTACAGGTTGACACATGAAGTTGAGATGGGTG